CAATATATCCATTAATATATGACAATCACATGAATGAGTGTTTGTGTGACACATACCCAGCGCTTCCACCGAATAAGAAGCGAATGGACTTTGGAATCGTTGCGGTCGGCGTCGATGTCTGACTCGTCTGAGACATTCTTCCACTTATTTAATGGTCAAAAGGGGTATCGAAGAAGTGTTAGGAAGTAATGAGGAGTTGGAATATTCTGCGAGTGAAGAGTTGTTTTGCGATTATAATTATGGAAATTAATGGAATTTCACTCTAAATATGATCACAAACTTTGATAACATTTGTGTTCAAAGTTTGAGTTTGTCTTTAAGTTGAGTTCAAATATTTAAGTGCTTTAAGTCTGACCTTCACTTCAAGTCATGGAAGAGAGACATTGAAATGATATCGAGTGAGAGGGAGAGAGAGGGGGACAGAGAGGGGAGATATAGAGGGAGAGAGAAGGAGAGAGTGCACCAGAACTAGGGTTTATTTCTCACGTGACAAACACAGCATAACTATAGCAACACTTATTATGGGATACAACTGGAAGAGTGCTCTACTGTTTGATAGGAATTAAAGGCTCTCTTTTACATTGACATACATAGAGATTGAGAGCCAAACTGTGATCAACACATTGTTAACACATTTTGCATTTTCTGAAGAGTATTTTCCAAATTATTTACTTTATAAATATCTCTGACTTGAAAAATATCAATATATTCGAGGAGTAGTTCACATCCGCAACAGTTTAGTGGAAGAGTTGGTGAGAATAGTTGTATAGCCTATCGATTCTCTCACAACAATTCACTCGATAATAACTTCTACAGTATTTCACTGTTTTTTACAACTTGTTAACTATAAGTGTTGAATCAAAAACCACTTATAAGTAGATTGTATAATGAATTCGTTCAAAGAGGGCTGGTTTACAGAGACCGGAGTTCTCAACTCCAACACAACTAACTTATCCATAAGAGTGGATCAGATTATTCACAAACAGAAGTCCAAGTTTCAGGATATTCTGGTCTTTCAGAGGTAAGACTGCAATGGTTTGAACGAATGAATGATTGAAATATATGTGAAATGTATAGTGAATTGTTTGGTCGATGTCTTGTATTGGATGACGCGATCCAATGCACAGAAAAGGATGAGTTCTCATATCAAGAGATGATAGCATTCCTTCCCCTCAATTCACACCAAAAGCCCCAAAAAGTGCTTATTATAGGCGGCGGTGACGGAGGGGTTGTTCGCGAAGCTGTGAAACACCCTTTGGTTGAAGAGGTGATAATGTGTGAGATCGATGAGGCGGTGGTCGATGTGTCCAAACGATTCCTGCCATTTATGTCCGGAGCCTTCGAAAGCCCTAAACTGAAACTTCTGTTCGAAGACGGATACGAATACGTGAAGAATCATAAGAATGAATTCGATGTCATTATTACCGACAGCTCTGATCCGAAAGGACCGGCGGAATGTCTATTCCAAGAACCGTATTATAGAGCGCTCTTCGAATCTCTGAGAAGCGGAGGAATCATCTGCTGTCAGGCGGAGTCCTATTGGTTTGATTTGCCGTTTATTAAACAATTGCATTCCAAATGCAAAGGCATTTTCCAATCGGTGGCCTACGGGTCCACTTGTGTGCCGTCATATCCTTCCGGACAAATTGGTTTTCTCGTCTGTTGTAAAGATAAAGCCATCGATTTCTCGGATCCGATCCACAAGTTTTCGCTCAAAGAATGTAATTCAATGAACTTAAGGTATTATACCAGCGAATTACACACCTATGCCTTCAGACTACCGCCGTTTGTCCAAAAGGTTTGTATTCAATGCTTTCCATTTCATAAGACATTAACTAATTATACTTAATTTAAATGATAGGAATTGGACTCCAGTTAGCAAATCAATCGATTCTTTGCCTTAATTCGACTCAAAATATATATCAAACACTAAACTAATGGTTAGATTTATGGACCAAACAAATAATAGATGTTATTTTTTGTTATAATTTTTCAATCAAGACATTTAATCGTTTTATATTTTGAGTAAATATTGATTAAAATCTACATTAAACTCAATTTCTAAGAGATAAACATTCATTATTACTATTGATTACATTAGACATTAAATTTATCGGTAGAATTGATAAAAGGGAGGACACGTCCGACGGCTGTCAGTGCTTAGGCCTGAGTGTCCTTAGTGTACATATATTTGATGAGGTCTACCACACGGTTGCTGTAGCCGTACTCGTTGTCATACCACGTGACCAGTTTGACGAACGTCTTGTTCAACGATAGGCCGGCCTTTGCGTCAAATATGGAGCTATGAGTGTCGCCAATGAAGTCACTCGAGACGACCTTTCATTGCATACAAAATTAGTCAACTTATTGTCAATCAGTTTTGCCATCTGTTAATCATTACCTCCTCATCAGTGTATCCGAGAATACCCTTCCAGTGGTCGCTCTCTGCGGCCGCCTTTACCACAGCTTTGATGTCATCATAAGAGGCCTCCTTTTTTAGACGAACCGTCAGATCGACGACAGACACGTCCGGAACGGGAACTCTGAACGCCATTCCCGTCAGTTTGCCATTCAGTTCGGGGATGACTTTGCCGACAGCTTTGGCCGCACCGGTCGACGCGGGGATGATATTCTGAGCGGCGCCTCTGCCGTCGCGCCACAGCTTACCACTCGGGCCGTCCACTGTCTTCTGGGTGGCGGTCACGGCGTGAATGGTGGACATGAGTCCCTCTTCGATACCGAAATTATCATTGATTACTTTGGCCAACGGAGCCAAACAATTGGTAGTACACGAGGCGTTCGACACGATCTGTTGCGATGGGTTGTAGTCCTGATGGTTGACTCCCATCACAAACATAGGCGCGTCCGCAGACGGCGCCGATATAATCACTTTCTTCGCGCCTCCGTTGACATGACTTTTGGCCTTTTCCAGAGTCGTGAACACACCGGTCGACTCCACCACATACTCGACGCCCACTTTAGCCCACGGAATGTCTGCGGGATTGCGCTCTTGGAATACGTGGATGCGTTTGCCGTCCACCACCAGAAGGCCTCCCTCTTCCTTCACCTCGCCTTTGAATCTGCCGTGAGTTGAGTCGTATCTAAACATATATACCATATACTGGACGTCAATGAACGGGTCGTTTACGGCCAACACATTCACGCCCTTCTCCAGAGCCGCTCTCAACACCAGACGTCCGATACGTCCGAAACCATTGATTCCCACTTTTGCCATCTTTTGCTGAAGATTCTGTTATCAGTTCAACCAATCAATACATCAATACATCACTTCTCACACAACAACCACTCAATTGAGGATCAATTAGTGGCGTGTCTTCAATACAGACCTGAATTTGTAATGAAATGAGATTTGAAGACAAGAGAGACACCGGTTCTGGAGATTGGATTCAAATGCGAGACAATTGTGAACAACACTTCACTTCAATGTCTGACTCAATGTGTCCTTCAATTTCAAAGTCAAACCAATGCTAAGCCTATCGTACGTACACTTCATTCCCCTCTCACTCCCCCTCTCTCTCCCCAATACTCACTCTCTCACACAAACCACACCATACTATGGCATACACTCACACTAGGCTTCAACCATTATTCCCGTCCCGTTTAGAATCCCGTCCGATTCTTATGCAGAATATTGTTAATAAACCGGTAATTGACAACATTATTAGGCAGTATATGCTATAATATTACGAATATGTGATTCATTGGACACTTTTAGCATTAATTATAGTACCAGTTGTTGTAAATTAGGTTATTTGAAGGGTCGGTATGAATGTGTTGCAAGAATTCAACCATCAAATAAATTGAGATAAATGACAAGTTCTTCAAATAATACCAATCGTTATATAATATATGATAATATAGTTTGCGTTCATTAGATAATGAAATGCATTAGGGGTTCAAAAGTGTCTATCGATATAATGGTTCATATTTACGACACTTTCCTTATATCACAAATTTTATATAAAATCCTTGAAATTATATGAATTGAATTAATATAATTGCTCTTCACATCAAATCGTACAACGATTTCTGTATAATAAGCTCCATATAAAGCATGTGAAGGCAAATGCTTCAAAAAAGGCTTCAAAAATGAAAAATAGCCCTATGTTATTCATACAATATTCATATGTTAAAAATAATTTTTCCCCTTTTCTGCCGTCTCATGATATAAAGTAAATGGTATATGGTAAATTTAGTATATGGCATATACTGTTCTCTTTATATAAAGAGTGAGACAATATTCAAGGAATGTGTTATAAGAGTAACTAATATTAATATTACATGCACAATTAATCCACAATTAAATTTATTTGTAAATCTACTTATAATTGACGTGATAAATAGATAAAATAAGGTGATATTAATAGCTTTATAAACAGTGCATTCCTCACTGGCGTAAAGTACTATTAAATAAATTATTATTGAAAATAATACAATAGCTTCCCAACTAAATGACAGAAACTATGGAAAAATTACATCATTTGATGTTAGAGTATCTCAAACGCAAACTTTCAACGAAGCAGCAACTTTTAGCAGGAATTGAATCATACAATGTGTATTAGCAATAATGGTTGAATTCTTGCAACACATTCATACCGACCCTTCAAATAACCTAATTTACAACAACTGGTACTATAATTAATGCTAAAAGTGTCCAATGAATCACATATTCGTAATATTATAGCATATACTGCCAATAATGTTGTTAATTACCGGTTTATTAACAATATTCTGCATAGGAATCGGACGGGATTTTGAACGGGACGGGAATACTGATTGAAGCCTAGTGTGAGTGTATGCCATAGTATGGTGTGGTTTGTGTGAGAGAGTGAGTGTTGGGGAGAGAGAGGGGGAGTGAGAGGGGAATGAAGCGATAGTACGATAGGCTTAGCATTGGTTTGACTTACAGTGAAATTGAAGGACACATTGAGTCAGACATTGAAGTGAAGTGTTGTTCACAATTGTCTCGCATTTGAATCCAATCTCCAGAACCGGTGTCTCTCTTGTCTTCAAATCTCATTTCATTACTAATTCAGGTCTGTATTGAAGACATGACACTAATTGATCCTCAATTGAGTGGATGTTATGCGAGAAGTGATGTATTGATGTATTGATTGGTTGAACTGATAACAGAATCTTCAGCCAAAGATGGCAAAAGTGGGAATCAATGGTTTCGGACGTATCGGACGTCTGGTGTTAAGAGCGGCTCTGGAGAAGGGCGTGAATGTGTTGGCCGTAAACGACCCGTTCATTGATGTCCAGTATATGGTATATATGTTTAGATACGACTCAACTCACGGCAGATTCAAAGGCGAGGTGAAGGAAGAGGGAGGCCTTCTGGTGGTGGACGGCAAACGCATCCACGTATTCCAAGAGCGCAATCCCGCAGACATTCCGTGGGCTAAAGTGGGCGTCGAGTATGTGGTGGAGTCGACCGGTGTGTTCACGACTCTGGAAAAGGCCAAAAGTCATGTCAACGGAGGCGCGAAGAAAGTGATTATATCGGCGCCGTCTGCGGACGCGCCTATGTTTGTGATGGGAGTCAACCATCAGGACTACAACCCATCGCAACAGATCGTGTCGAACGCCTCGTGTACTACCAATTGTTTGGCTCCGTTGGCCAAAGTAATCAATGATAATTTCGGCATCGAAGAGGGACTCATGTCCACCATTCACGCCGTGACCGCCACCCAGAAGACAGTGGACGGCCCGAGTGGTAAGCTGTGGCGCGACGGCAGAGGCGCCGCTCAGAATATAATCCCCGCGTCGACCGGTGCGGCCAAAGCTGTCGGCAAAGTCATCCCCGAACTGAATGGCAAACTGACGGGAATGGCGTTCAGAGTTCCCGTTCCGGACGTGTCTGTCGTCGATCTGACGGTTCGTCTAAAAAAGGAGGCCTCTTATGATGACATCAAAGCTGTGGTAAAGGCGGCCGCAGAGAGCGACCACTGGAAGGGTATTCTCGGATACACTGATGAGGAGGTAATGATTAACAGATGGCAAAACTGATTGACAATAAGTTGACTAATTTTGTATGCAATGAAAGGTCGTCTCGAGTGACTTCATTGGCGACACTCATAGCTCCATATTTGACGCAAAGGCCGGCCTATCGTTGAACAAGACGTTCGTCAAACTGGTCACGTGGTATGACAACGAGTACGGCTACAGCAACCGTGTGGTAGACCTCATCAAATATATGTACACTAAGGACACTCAGGCCTAAGCACTGACAGCCGTCAGACGTGTCCTCCCTTTTATCAATTCTACCGATAAATTTAAT